GAGGTGGAGGCTGGTTGAGAGAGCCAGAGCTGCTGGCTGCTGTTAGAGACGCTGCTGTGGCTCCAGGAGACGGACCCGAGGCTGGGGTCACCTGACCCTGATCGGGAGAGAAAGGTGAAAATTAGGGTGCTTTCACACCTGTAGACCGATTGCTTTGTTCCGAAACAGGGATTAAAATTACTACAATGTTGCATTTTATTCTTGGTTCGCTTTCACACGGCAATGTTTCTAAACGGACAACATTTGTTAATACAAGTCACGGGTTTATTTTCTGGGATTCCACTTAGCTGTCACCCGTCAGGATGGAACGACAACAGCTTCGCCGGCTTATTGTTGTTTTTTTGTAGCTGTCGTTATATTAATTTATCATTTTTAGCTAAGGGGGGAAACACGCCAGGTTCCGAAACAACGGGCCAGGTGTGAAAGCACCCTAACTCTCTTCATTTATGAGGGCCACAGCTAGGTGTTTAAAGAACAGTTTAGCCAGAACCACAAGAACTGCCGTACAATTATTATTTTTTTAACTGTGATTGATAGTATTTTTTAGGAAGTTTATTACAAACACCGCTTCACGAAGCTTCGAAACATTTGTGAATCTTTTGTTTCGAATCAGTGTTTCGGAGCGTGTATCAAACCGGCCAAGTCACGTGACTTTAGCAAACGAAGCTTCGTTACGTCACACTGTTTCGAAACGTTTCGAAACTCCGATGGTTCACCACGAGGGGGTGTTGATCTCAAAGTGAACCCATGAACCACATCTGGTTGCCCAGTTAAACACGTGACATGAAATCCCACTAAATTTTACTATAAAAAAATAAAGAATTCAGGGCCAGATGTTGTGGGTTAAACAAAAGATAACTTTCCTTTAACACAGATGGCTATATAGTTTAAAACAAATGTGTAAAAACATTCAGTACATTCAACCTACAAATCACACCATACCTTAAAAATAACGAAATGAGCTTACGATAGAATTAAATCCACTCTTGCCTGCTGGTTTTTATAGACAGCTCTAATGAAAACAATTAATTAAGTTACATAAATCAATTAATCATTAAATAATTAATTTAGTTCATTGTGTGTTAAGGGTTTGATTATACTTAAATAAAACACATAACACAAGAACTAATATTTTATAGTATTTAAGTGTTTATTATTTATTTTAAAAAATGGTAGTTCTAAAAAAACATTTCCATTTGTTTTGTAAGTTTGGTCTGAGTTCTTGATGCTTTTACAACGTTGTTGTGAAGTGCTTCGAAACATCGAATCTTTTTCAAAGCAATTGATTCAATGCTTCGAAAAGCTTAGTTTCTCCCATCACTACCGTTAGGACATTGTACTGTATATGTGTGTTTATACAAATCATCAATTATTTCACAAAGTGACATTAGTAATATTTCAAGATGAACACTCACTGGACTAGTGAGTGTCACCCGTCCCGTATTTAAAGGTAAAATGATGCGTCCCGTATCAAATTATTAAGGGACACGATTTGTCCCATATTTTACATAGGCCTGCACATAGCGGATTAAACACAAGGATTTTGCAGTGAGGAGTAGGGGTGGGCGATATAGCCTCAAAATTATATCAAGATATTTGCCATAATGATATTTATGACGATATAGAAAAAAATATGGAACAACGTTTTATTGGTGACTGCAGCTGGCAGGCAGAGTGTGGAGAAAACTAATAGCAAATAAAAAGAAATCAAATTCACAATAAGTAGCAGAAATGCTGATTTGCGCGTGATTACATTTTAGCGTCTTTGTATCATAGCGACAGAGTCTCGAGATCAAGCACCGTGAACCTGCGCCTGTTTTATTTTGTAATTGTCGAGCTCACGTCCGCCTCATTAACGCAAGAGGCTCTCCAAATATAAGGCTGTCCAGTATCTATGCAAGGAGCACTGCCCAATTTGCCAAAAGGCATTTTCAGTTGCGGCCAGTGGACTGTGCTGCTAAAGGGTATATGTGTAGACCTATGTTTTATTACTTGGATAAAATATTAATATTTATTAATACAATATTTCATACATCATCAGCACTTGGTAGACAGATAATTATATTTTTAGACATTATTAGATCATTAATTAATATTATAAATAGCATTATTTAGATAATAGTTGGGTATTAGGATAAATGTTATTATTAGAATGTTATTCAAATTATAAATAATGTTTTTAATAATTTACCATTCATAGGCTACATAATAAATAATCCTTCCATATACAATTTATGACATTAAAAAATAGTTAAATTAATTTGGTTAAAAATTAGAAATATTTACATAATGTAGTCCTGATTAAAAATTCATCCCATCCAGGTAACAGCTGCAGATGCACAGTTGCACAATTGTCTAAAAAGTGATAACTGGTTCCAGACAGAATGACTGCTTGAAGCATTTCCTGAAGGAGCTCTTTAGGAATAACACAATCAGACGTGTTCTGCTGAAAGTGCACAGCCTACATGTTCTCATGATTTATTGTTGAGCCGTCAATTTGTCATGTGTTGAAATAATCAGTTCATGTCTTATTCTTTTATTTGTGTGTGTGTGTGTGTGGGTGGGGGGTGGGTTATTTTGCCACACAGAAAGCAGCAACCCTACACTGGACTGAAGCAACTTCGGTTTACTTGATTTTCTATACATCAATTTTTTCTGAAAACTCATGATAAAATGTAGGGATGCACAGATAGGATTTTTTTGGGGCCGATACAGATTTTAACAAACACTTATTTGCCGATTCCGATACCGATATTTGTCACTTCCTCTCTTATTTGAAATTTTGGCATCAAAATAGGTAGTATTTTGATCATGTTTTAAATCAGCAAAGATCAAAAACACCTGCATTAAATTATACTAGCAGTTTTATTGCTGCATCAAATAATTTCTAGTGAACATGGATTGTATAAATACAACAGAACAAAGATACATATTAAATAAACAGTGCTTTTTAGGTAGGTTTAACAGTTTTCAGGTATAGAAATAAAGTAAACTAATGTAAAATAACACTTCACTGTATAAAATTAAATGCATATTAATCCTTTATTGTAACAGACTTTATTATGATTAATCTTCTAATTTGTTTTTGTATACATTTTAATATTTTTTGTAAGTTTAAATATGTATGAGATCTCCTTTGCTAAGGCGGGACTCTTATTTTGAGGGGTTTTCTAGTCTACGGAGCAGCTATATGGGTAATGAAAGCACGCAGTTCTTCGGATTTAAAGTTTGTCAGTTTATTAAGCACCCCTCGAAAAGGCATGAGATCTGTATATATTTGTTTACTGTTAGTTGTAATAAGTGTTTTGTGTAATTCGCTGTATGTTGATAATGCGACAGAGCGAGAGTTTAATGTGCACTTCTCGTGCTGTTTTGTTTAGCTTTTATGGTGATTTTTTTGGAGTGAAAAAGGATGCAATAAACTTAATGAAACATCAGTAAAATTTGGGTCATCATTCAGATGAGGTCCGCTACACTTATGAAGGTTACAAAAGTTATTTAGTCAAGAATAGTGTGCGATCTTTTGTCTTTTGTTATTTGATTAGCATTAAAGTGCGAACAGCAGCGCTAGGATTATGCAACAGACATTATACAGCTCAGTGCCTTCACGCAGTTAATTAATAAACCATCGGTTTGTTATATCGGCCTTTTTCCTTATATAGCCGATAAGCCGATGGTTGTAAATTGAGGAAAAATCGGCCGATACATCGGTGCATCCCTAGTAAAATGTATTATATATCATAAGCTCAGCTTTTGAGAAACATCTGTTTGTATATTCTTCATCATCATTGCATTGCATTATGTTTTGCCCAGCAATAAAACCTACAAAGCTTTTATCATAAAACTAAGCAATAATCTTAAGAAATTATTCAGAGGTACAGAGAGTCAACTGATATTTATATCATTGTATGCAAGTAGTCTGCTATACTGTTAAAAAGATCTCATCAACACAAGCTATGAGAATTTCATATTACTTTTTGACGATATCAGGGCTCTACGCTTACTTTTCTTTTTAGGAGCACTTGTGCCCCTAACTTAAATTTAGGAGCACGTTCAAAATTTTAGGAGCACCTTCTAATCAATCATGCAAAATTTTATCAAAAAGTAGCCTTCCCATTACGAGGTGATATTTGACTCCTCTAACTTTATTAAAAGTATGTCATCTTTTGTCAAATTCTTTAAAAAATTATATTTTATAAGCTGTTTAAAAATTTTAATTAAAACGACAGAATAAGAACAAGTAGAATAAGAAATATAAGTTACCAATCAAATGAAATCAGTATTAACAAACTTAAT